AGAGGAAATAATATGTACCGCATTGAATGAATGAATTGTATTGAATAATATTGTCCTATACAGTAGAAGTCATGTATATATAGGTTGAGAAAAAATATCCTACTAAAAATCTAACTATGAGAAAAAATATTCTATAAGAAACCTAACTATGACAATACCTAATATATCTAGGAAATCAATACCTAATATATGTAGGAATATATACCATATATACATTAACATGGGTGATGGGAACTTTTCAGTTGCTTCTGTCAATAATTGATTCAGTTATTGTTATCTCATTCTGGATGCTCTGTTTTCATTTCCAAGATTCAATTTCTCATTCCATTTTGATAATGACAAAGGTATTACAATGTTTTCTACACTAGTTCTTATTAAAATATCATTCACATTCTAATAATAAGCTCACCACTTCTAGATACCTAGCTCCAGAATATGCTTCTTCTGGGAAACTTACAGACAAGTCTGATGTTTTCTCATTCGGAGTCGTGCTTCTAGAGTTAATTACTGGACGTCGACCTATTAACTCATCTCAATCTTACGCAGATGATAGCTTGGTAGACTGGGTGAGCAATTACATCAAAACCACTAAATCTTTTTCCACTCTAATAAAAGGCTTTTATTTTGCTTGATTTACTTTTCACATTTTTTGGTTTTTTTTCTAAGTCTAACAAAATTATCTTTGTTGTAGGCGCGACCCTTGCTCACACAAGCTTTGGAAGATGAAAACTTTGATACGCTTGTTGATCCACGGTTGCAAAGGGATTACAGACCCAACGAGATGGCTCGTATGGTTGGTTGTGCTGCTGCTTGTGTGCGTCATTCAGCACGGTGTCGACCACGAATGAGCCAAGTAAGATTTTGGGTTTATTTTGCAACAGCCATGATAAAAACCCCTACAAAACACAACCCCAAAAATGATCTGGACCATTCATGTCATTGTCAGAGATAGGGAAACAAAATTCAAAAACATCAATGGTCAATACATCAGTGGGGGCCGTGGGGGTCCTAAACATTTTCCTATTTGCAATATAGTCAAGCTAAACAATTCCTATATCTTATGCAAATTGGTTGATCCTAATGGAGCCAACAAGTTATGAATCCAGTGTGGCATTTCGATATTGTGGAATGGTTCTTCAATTATAAATTTTACCATTCCATACTACTTATGTCACTTGCAAGTGGAAGTTAGGCCTGGAATTTAATGCATTGTCTTGGTTGAGACCTTAAAAACACACAAAGCTATGAATGATCTGATCTACAAATTTCAAATAATTTGATTCTGCTTCCCAAGGTTGGTATATCTTGAACTATAACACTTGAGCCTAAGGGTGTGCGCGGTGTGGTTCGGGTGGTTTAAGGGTAAAATTACAAACCGAATGGCGGGTTGGCGGATTAGCAGATTGACAAATTGCTGTTTGAGCGGTTTTTGGCGGGTTGGCGGATTAAAGAATGTTCTAACTAATTATCATATATTTGTATAATATATAATACTAATTTGTATAACATTTTTTAGATATATAACACAAAGTAATTTTACATAATATGTTTCATATATATAACTACTAATTTGTAATAAATTTCATATCTTAAATATCTCTCACACTCATTTTTACATTGATATTTCATTGGAGGTTAAAAAATATATATGTATTACTATAGCAGAGCGGAGCGATTGGCGGATTATAAATTTTAAAGTTTAAACCGCGGTTAGTGGTTAGAGCGGTGCGGATTGATGCAGATCAGTGCGGTTTTAGCGGATTGGGCGGTATTTTGCACAACCCTACTTGAGCCCCATGGCGTGTTACCTAAGAAGCACGAACAATTCTAAGTTGTGTGTTCTTGTCCGACGCTGATGCTTATTTGACACTTCTTGACATTCGTCGGACACACATGATGAAACATATATTTGAACAAAATAACTTAAAGGATACAATGACATAAGAAAAACAATATAAATTTATACGTATTAGTCCCTGCTCTTTTTAAATTAAGGAATTAATATTATGTTGTATTTTTTATTATGTTGGAATGAAATATTCATATATGTGATATATAATAAATATATAAGATCATATATTTTGTGCATGTCCACCACATGTCATGTCCTATATTTTTTTGATGTTGACGTGTCAGTATGTCCATAGCCTGCAAGATTCTTGCTTCTTAACTTAGATGTGCTATATGTGAGCTAACTCCTAGTCGATAAGCATAACTCGAATTGTGCAGGTAGTGCGGGCCTTCGAAGGAGACATATCTTTGTCTGATCTTAACGAAGGAATCAAACCCGGACACAACACAGTCTACAGTTCTCATGGCAGCTCAAACTATGACACTAACCAATACAATGACGACATGAAAAAATTTAGGAAGATGGCTCTGGGAACCAAAGAGTATGGAAGCAATGAGCACAGTGCACTAACTAACGAATATGGATTGTATCCATCTGGTTCGAGCAGTGGAGGCCAACAAACCACTCCAGAAATGGAGATGGGAAAGATGTGTGGGAGATAATTTCAATAATAATTAATTAAAGCAAATAAAAAAATAAAGTAAACAACAAAATTAAACCTTATAGTACTTCTATAGATAGTTTATGAACAAATTTGTGATTGAGGCCAATGTATGAACATTGTGTCTTTAAGACATAATTTCAGCTTCTTCAATGGTGCTTGAGAATAATGGATGTACTGTCTCTAGGATACAACAATCACCACAAACGAAGAGAGCACACTCTTTGATTGTACTGTGAACCAAAATTATATTTTACACTCACAAAATTCAAACTCACGCAGATGAAGAATACAAGAGGAATGCTTGAACTTGAGGAAGTTGGAATGAAAAAAATTGGAATGGGGGCTACCTTTATATAGGCTTGTTGGTACCTGTTAAGTTTGAACAGAAAAGGCACAAAAAAAGGACATGACCCTTCATTAAAATAAAAAAACACCATGAAAGGATTACATCCTTTTATTTAAATGAAGGGTTGCACCCTTTCATTCAAATGGAGTTGATTTCAATTCACTGATGCCTTTATAAATTTTCCAACAATTCCCCACATGAATGAAATTGACATAATGAGAAATGCAACAACATGTAGACTATGTGAATACAAATCTAGAAATATCCTACATAGGATAGGTAGCTTTTGATCTTGAACCTTCCCTTATAAAAGACTATCGGATTTACTGGTTGATTAGTGAATATGATGTATTGAATTGTTCTGCTGTTGGTGTAAACCGAGACAATAGCCTATCACACAGTTTTATTTTCATACACAACTTGATTCTATCGGTTGTGTCTATTTTGGCTCTAGACAATTCTTGAATTCATAAGTGTTCTAGAGAATTTAGCCTTTTCAATTTTTATAAACCGACCCAGTTCACACTCACATAGGTGATTCCCATTAAAAGTATCATGCTATACCCCACTTGAATTTCCAAACTATGAGTCTCATTAAAATCAAAGCTTAACTTATTTATTGCTACTGATAATCACTATTTCATCATAGAAATGGGTAGGAGTTTTACTCCTTAGTGGTTCTAATGAGTCATTCTTAATTTGGTTGTTCCTTTGAACTTAGATTTTGGGATCTCCAATCAATTAGGTTGGGTTTTCATTAAGATAACTCTTAAGTGACAGGCTTTAATCTCATTCCCCTCGATGATCGCAACACTTGCTCTTTGGTCAAAGCCTTTGTCAACGGATCTGCTAATGTTTTCTTTTGACTTTATAAACTCAATGGAAATTATTCCATTAGAGAGCAGTTGCCTAACAGTGTTATGTCTACAACGAATGTGACAAGACGAATGTGACAAGACTTCCCGTTATATATATGATTATGTGCCCTAGCCATTGCAGTTTGATTATCGCAATGAATGCAAATCGCTGGCATAACTTTTAGCCATATTGGATTATCTTCTAAGAAATTTGGAAGTCATTCTGCTTCTTCTTTTGCTTTGTCTAAAGCAATAAATTTAGATTCATTTGTGGATCTAGCTATACAAGTCTAATTAGAAGATTTTCAAGAGACCGCTCCACCTCCCAAGGTAAAGACATATCTACTTGTGGATTTAGAATCGTTAGTGTCATATATCCAATTAGCGTCGCGATACCCTTCTAGGACTGCTGAATATCTAGTATAATACAGTCTATAGTCACGGGTGTATTTTAGGTAGGGGTGTTCACGGTTCGGTTTGGGACGGTTTGCGGTTCGGTTTGGACCTGCCCGTATTTATGCGGTTTGGGAAAAAGTCAACCTTAAAAATATATATATAATTACTTTGTTATGAGATGAGATTTTTGTTTGTTTGTTTGTTTGTGTTTTTTTTAATGTATAGTTAGTTTATTATGAGATGAGATTTAGGAAAGAGAGAAATATTGGAGGGGAAGATTTAGGAACTTGTAATTCAAAATTTTAGGTGGTTTTTTTTATTTTTTATTTTTAAATCTATAAATAGAATTATTTTTAAATATTCATAAAATCACAAAAATTAACAATTGTGGAATGAGAGTTTGGAACTTTCACAAGTCTTTTCATTTATATAATAAATAGATAAATATAGATGTTTATATTTGTTGTAAATATTTTTTTAATATACAAATTACTAATTTTGGATTTTTTATAAAAATAATTTAATAATTTTGGTGAAACACTAGTCATGTTTGTCAGAATTTATGATTTTGGTGAAGGCTTCAAGAAGCATAATATGCGTACTTTAATATTTTACCTATTAAATGGACAAAATTGGATGATTTTCAAGTCTGCTGGTTATTATTGTTTAGTGGTTCTTACTTTTAAATTTGCATGTATATTTTCTGAACAATCCTTCTCAATAAACAATAGAATATTAATGAACTCTAGTCGCCAAATGTACTTCAAGTTATGAGTCCTACATATGCTTTATTGTCTAAGAACCTGTTGAGCTGATGCTGGATGCTTCTGGTAAAATTGATTCTGATATAGAAAATAAAACGTTTCAGGAAAGGGAAGACCTACCATGGATTGGTCCACAAGATTGAGAATTGCTCTAGGGTCTGCTAAAGGACTGGCTTATCTGCACGAGGACTGTAAGTTCTCTTCATACATATACTTGCTTCTCGTTTTAGAAGCAAGAAGCGACTCTTTAGCATATGATACTGGGGTTAATATATTTTTTTAATTGAATTTTTTTTATTTGCAGGCCATCCTAAGATCATACATCGTGACATTAAGGCAGCCAACATACTTCTGGATTTTAACTTTGAGGCAATGGTAAGATTTCCTTGTAAGCATGGGTCGAGAATCATTAAATTTCAATTTGCATCTTTGAAGTTTGTCATAATAAATCCAAGAAAAACAGAGTTTTTTCCCCTTTCTGTATGTGATATGATTGGTGAGATTTATCAGTTATGGGTGCAAGGAGTGGAATGAATATTTTTATTCACAAGTGACAAACAAAAAATTTCAAACCACTGATTATGTTGTCCAAACTTTATAGTAGTGGTGATTGTTGTCATTAAGTCTGTAACCTGTAATTTTTTATGCTCTTCTCAGGTTGCAGATTTTGGACTTGCAAAGCTTTCTTCTGATGTCAACACTCACATATCCACCAGGGTGATGGGAACTTTTGGGTAAGGCCTACCTCTTATGTCCAAGTTTCAAATAATTGATTCTGTCAATAATTGATTCTTTTGGGTTGTTAGAATAGTAGAGAAAGATGAAATAATATATATTGTATTGAATGAATGAATTGTATTGAATAATATTGTCCTATACAATAGAAGACTTGTATATATAGGCTGAAAAAGAATATCCTACTAGAAATCTAACTATGAGAAAGAGTATCCTATAAGAGACCTAATTATGACAATACCTAATATATCTAGGAAATCATTACCTAATATATGTAGAAATATATACCATATATACATTAACAGCCCCTCTCAAATTCAAGGAGGATAAACATCTTGAGTTTGGAGAGAGAAACTAAAACATGAAATAAAACTAAATAAAATAAAAGGCAAATAGATTGCAAAATCAGAACAGGAGCGCAAAGGCGCTTGAAATAGATTAGAGGCCGGAACTAAAGTCAGGAGACAGTTTATGGTTGTGTTGGACTATTATAGGAACTGACTGAAACTAATACCAAGTCAATTTAAAGTTGTGCCGAACCGATATAGGAATTGATTGAAACTAATGTCGAGAGACAATTTATGGTCGTGTCGGACCGTTGTAGGAATTAGTTGGAACTAATGCCAGGACAGTTTACAAGGGTCATGCCGAACTGATGTAGGAGCTAATCGGAATCAATGTCGGGACAGTTTACAGGGTCATGCCAGACCGTTGGAGAGATGAATGTTGAACCAGTAAGTGTGGCACACATATAACTTATGACGTAGTGCTGAACGATGATGGCAATAGATAACTGAGTGCGCTAGGAGGCGGCTTGGATGGTGCGCTGGGGGGTGAGTTTGGTGGTGCGCCAGAGGAAGCGGCTTGGATTGTGTGCCAGAGAGGGATGGCTTGGGTTGTGGGCCAGAGAGTGCGGCTTTGATTGTGCGCCAAAGGTAGCGGCTAGGTGGTTTTCATGGTGTATAACCATGTTCATCATGATATATGTATAATACCCCCCCTCAAACTCCAATAGGTTTGAAGATAGAAACCAATTTGAGATATTTGGGGCAGGAATAAACTAGCGGAAAAAGGAAGAGATCACTACGAGGTGATACTAAAAGAAAAACATGATAGCGGAATAGGTTGAGGTCCGACAGGCGGCCAAGGTGAGGCTGCCGCTCGCCAGTGAAGCAAAATTACTAAGTTCTTAACCTAGCTCTGATATGATGTTAGAATAGTAGAGAGAGAGGAAGTAATATGTACTGCATTGAATGAATGAATTGTATTGAATAATATTGTCCTATACAGTAGAAGTCATGTATATATAGGTTGAGAAAAAATATCCTACTAAAAATCTAACTATGAGAAAAAGTATTCTATAAGAAACCTAACTATGGCAATACCTAATATATCTAGGAAATCAATACCTAATATATGTAGGAATTTATACCATATATACATTAACATGGGAGATGGGAACTTTTCAGTTGCTTCTGTCAATAATTGATTCAGTTATTGTTATCTCATTCTGGATGCTCTGTTTTCATTTCCAAGATTCAATTTCTCATTCCATTTTGATAATGACAAAGGTATTACAATGTTTTCTACACTAGTTCTTATTAAAATATCATTCACATTCTAATAATAAGCTCACCACTTCTAGATACCTGGCTCCGGAATATGCTTCTTCTGGGAAACTTACAGACAAGTCTGATGTTTTCTCATTCGGAGTCGTGCTTCTAGAGTTAATTACTGGACGTCGACCTGTTAACTCATCTCAATCTTACGTAGATGATAGCTTGGTAGACTGGGTGAGCAATTACATCAAAACCACTAAATCTCTTTCCACTCTAATAAAAGGCTTTTATTTTGTTTGATTTACTTTTCACATTTTTTGGTTTTTTTTCTAAGTCTAACAAAATTGTCTTTGTTGTAGGCGCGGCCCTTGCTCACACAAGCTTTGGAAGATGAAAACTTTGATATGCTTGTTGATCCACGGTTGCAAAGGGATTACAGACCAAACGAGATGGCTCGTATGGTTGGTTGTGCTGCTGCTTGTGTGCGTCATTCAGCACGGTGTCGACCACGAATGAGCCAAGTAAGATTTTGGGTTTATTTTGCAACAGCCATGATAAAAACCCCTACAAAACACAACCCCAAAAATGATCTGGACCATTCATGTCATTGTCAGAGATAGGGAAACAAAATTCAAAAACATCAATGGTCAATACATCAGTGGGGGCCGTGGGGGTCCTAAACATTTTCCTATTTGCAATATAGTCAAGCTAAACAATTCCTATATCTTATGCAAATTGGTTGATCCTAATGGAGCCAACAAGTTATGAATCCAGTGTGGCATTTCGATATTGTGGAATGGTTCTTCAATTATAAATTTTACCATTCCATACTAATTACGTCACTTACAAGTGGAAGTTAGGCCTGGAATTTAATGCATTGTCTTGGTTGAGACCTTTAAAACACACAAAGCTATGAATGATCTGATCTACAAATTTCAAATAATTTGATTCTGCTTCCCAAGGTTGGTGTATCTTGAACTATAACACTTGAGCTTAAGGGTGTGCGCGGTGTGGTTCGGGTGGTTTAAGGGTAAAATTACAAACCGAATGGCGGGTTGGCGAATTAGCAGATTGACAAATTGCTTTTTGAGCGGTTTTTGGCGGGTTGGCAGATTAAAGAATATTCTAACTAATTATCATATATTTGCATAATATATAATACTAATTTGTATAACATTTTTTAGATATATAACACAAAGTAATTTTACATAATATGTTTCATATATATAACTACTAATTTGTAATAAATTTCATATCTTAAATATCTCTCACACTCAATTTTACATTGATATTTCATTGGAGGTTAAAAAATATATATGTATTACTATAGCAGAGCGGAGCGATTGGCGGATTATAAATTTTAAAGTTTAAACCGCGGTTAGTGGTTAGAGCGGTGCGGATTGATGCAGATCAGTGCGGTTTTAGCGGATTGGGCGATATTTTGCACAACCCTACTTGAGCTCCATGGCGTGTTACCTAAGAAGCACGAACAATTCTAAGTTGCGTGTTCTTGTCCGACGCTGATGCTCATTTGACACTTCTTGACATTCGTCGGACACGCATGATGAAACATATATTTGAACAAAATAACTTAAAGGATACAATGACATAAGAAAAACAATATAAATTTATACGTATTAGTCCCTGCTCTTTTTAAATTAAGGAATTAATATTATGTTGTATTTTTTATTATGTTGGAATGAAATATTCATATATGTGATATATAATAAATATATAAGATCATATATTTTGTGCATGTCCACCACATGTCATGTCCTATATTTTTTTGATGTTGACGTGTCAGTATGTCCATAGCCTGCAAGATTCTTGCTTCTTAACTTAGATGTGCTATATGTGAGCTAACTCCTAATCGATAAGCATAACTCGAATTGTGCAGGTAGTGCGGGCCTTCGAAGGAGACATATCTTTGTCTGATCTTAACGAAGGAATCAAACCCGGACACAACACAATCTACAGTTCTCATGGCAGCTCAGACTATGACACTAACCAATACAATGAGGACATGAAAAAATTTAGGAAGATGGCTCTGGGAACCAAAGAGTATGGAAGCAACGAGCACAGTGCACTAACTAGCGAATATGGATTGTATCCATCTGGTTCGAGCAGCGGAGGCCAACAAACCACTCCAGAAATGGAGATGGGAAAGATGTGTGGGAGATAATTTCAATAATAATTAATTAAAGCAAATAAAAAAATAAAGTAAACAACAAAATTAAACCTTATAGTACTTTTATAGATAGTTTATGAACAAATTTGTGATTGAGGCCAATGTATGAACATTGTGTCTTTAAGACATAATTTCAGCTTCTTCAATGGTGCTTGAGAATAATGGATGTACTGTCTCTAGGATACAACAATCACCACAAACGAAGAGAGCACACTCTTTGATTGTACTATGAACCAAAATTATATTTTACACTCACAAAATTCAAACTCACGCAGATGAAGAATACAAGAGGAATGCTTGAACTTGAGGAAGGTGGAATGAAAAAAAATGGAATGGGGGCTACCTTTATATAGGCTTGTTGGTACCTGTTAAGTTTGAACAGAAAAGGCACAAAAAAAGGACATGACCCTTCATTAAAATAAAAAAACACCATGAAATGATTACATCCTTTTATTTAAATGAAGGGTTGCACCCTTTCATTCAAATGGAGTTGATTTCAATTCACTGATGCCTTTATAAATTTTCCAACAATTCCCCACATGAATGAAATTGACATAATGAGAAATGCAACAACATGTAGACTATGTGAATACAAATCTAGAAATATCCTACATAGGATAGGTAGCTTTTGATCTTGAACCTTCCCTTATAAAAGACTATCGGATTTACTGGTTGATTAGTGAATATGATGTATTGAATTGTTCTGCTGTTGGTGTAAACCGAGACAATAGCCTATCACACAGTTTTATTTTCATACACAACTTGATTCTATCGGTTGTGTCTATTTTGGCTCTAGACAATTCTTGAATTCATAAGTGTTCTAGAGAATTTAGCCTTTTCAATTTTTATAAACCGACCCAGTTCACACTCACATAGGTGATTCCCATTAAAAGTATCATGCTATACCCCACTTGAATTTCCAAACTATGAGTCTCATTAAAATCAAAGCTTAACTTATTTATTGCTACTGATAATCACTATTTCATCATAGAAATGGGTAGGAGTTTTACTCCTTAGTGGTTCTAATGAGTCATTCTTAATTTGGTTGTTCCTTTGAACTTAGATTTTGGGATCTCCAATCAATTAGGTTGGGTTTTCATTAAGATAACTCTTAAGTGACAGACTTTAATCTCATTCCCCTCGATGATCGCAACACTTGCTCTTTGGTCAAAGCCTTTGTCAATGGATCTGCTAATGTTTTCTTTTGACTTTATAAACTCAATGGAAATTATTCCATTAGAGAGCAGTTGCCTAACAGTGTTATGTCTACAGCGAATGTGACAAGACGAATGTGACAAGACTTCCCGTTATATATATGATTATGTGCCCTAGCCATTGCAATTTGATTATCGCAATGAATGCAAATCGCTGGCATAGCTTTTAGCCATATTGGATTGGAAGTCATTCTGCTTCTTCTTTTGCTTTGTCTAAAGCAATAAATTTAGATTCATTTGTGGATCTAGCTATACAAGTCTAATTAGAAGATTTTCAAGAGACCGCTCCACCTCCCAAGGTAAAGACATATCTACTTGTGGATTTAGAATCGTTAATGTCATATATCCATTTAGCGTCGCGATACCCTTCTAGGACTGTTGAATATCTAGTATAATACAGTCTATAGTCACGGGTGTATTTTAGGTAGGGGTGTTCACGGTTCGGTTTGGGACGGTTTGCGGTTCGGTTTGGACCTGCCCGTATTTATGCGGTTTGGGAAAAAGTCAACCGGCAACTGCCCACAATGCGGTTTGTGCAGATAGGGTTCGCGGATGTGCGGACGGTTGCGGGCGGTTTGCGAATTGAACTTTTTTACAAAAATTTATTTTCATACCTTTTTTTTTCTCCCATTTTGTCAATCTTTATTTTGGACCTTTTTCCTCATAATTTCTAAAATGCTCCAACATTAATAATTAATAAATTAAAACTTATAAAATAAAAAACACAACAAATTCAATTCGCAACCTAAACAAATCATTCAAAATCTACATTCATCATTAACTTGCATTCATCCTACATTCATCATTCATAATCCAAATAAAAAAATCATACATTGAAAATTCTACATTCATCATTCCTAACCCAAATACAAAAAAAAAAAAAAAAAAAAATAAATTTACATAAATGAGTGAATAAAATAGGACAAAAAAAAAATTGAAATGAAAGATTTAGGAAGGAGCAAGGAAGAGTTTAACACCAACGAAACAACAAAGAAAGTTATTTTTTATTTATTTATTTATAAAATGCTATATATACTCACTTTTTAGTTTCCATTAATGGAGGTCTGAAAGAGATAGACTGGGCACACACCTAACATTTGAGCGTTATCTTCAAACTCACGACCACAAAGTTGTTAGGGTGAATTTTAACCAGTAAACTAGTGGCCCTGCTTCCCATTACTTAAAATGGAAATTCCTTGTACATGATTAAGGGGGCCATTGAAAAGTGACTTAAAATCAATACAAAAAGAAGATACCATGTGATGTGATGATGTGCCATCAATTTTAAATTATGATAATTAGTAACACCTTATTGTTCAGCAAATTTATCATGGAACATAAATAAATAAATAAATAAATAACAGCAGTTTAAGGATTGTGCCAGAAATAGAGATCCAAAATTGCTGTATGGTAACACAAACTAGTCCTTAAAACTAACCTACCTTTCCATTGTCATACCACGGGGACCAGTTGGTAATAGTTGGAAGCTTCAAGGCATCAATGGAGTATCGAGTTGCAGTCACAGGAACCACTGCATCAGTGTCTCCACTGAACAAAGAAATTAATCTCAATGAATTATTAAGCATGACCAATTAAACAAAAAATAGGAGACAAAAATGAAGTGTCGAACTTTGTTATTTGTTTTCAACTATAGAAGACTGAACAAATCAGCTGTAGAAGATCCAACAAAATCCAGAATAACAACACAATGAATGGGGTATTTTGGCATCACTCAAAATGCAGTTCTAATTGAATTTGCATAGCATGACACACACCAGTCACACACGAGCACGTTCAGTTACACACCTCTAATGCTTGATTTTTTAAACTTAAAATAGTTGTCTTTGCTTAAAGTAATTGTCAAATAGCTATTGAATAATGTTGTTGTACTAACTTTTATATTTAAGAGGATATTACAAATATCAATGTCTCATCCTTGAGTTTCTCCATATAAAGTCAAAACAAAGCTGGCTTTTTTACTGCAAAGATTGATTTGCACTTCTGCAATAATACTATCTGTTGATACTCTGCCTCTTAAAAAACCTCAAGGGTCAGGATGTGGTTGGAGATTGTTTAATTGTCAATAGAGAACCAAGTGAAGTAACTTTGTGAAGTACTGATATCAATTTTAAATGTTGCTTCTAGAGTGGCATGATTGGTATTCATAAAATTTACACATGTCATAAACAGTCAAACATAGGAAATCAATTTTGCCGTAATTTCAACATATTTTATTTCATAAATCTTGCAAGTCTTGAATAAAAGAGAACTGAAAGTACTTCTTACCTACTTCTTACCAACTCATCTAGATATTTCATGTTACAAGTATCATGTATTTTCCCAAAATTTACGGATGACATTTTGAATTGATGAAGAAGAAAACTGATCTCAGAAGCAAACTTCAAAACCTTGCCAGTAGATCATGCAAATTAACATAACTGATTAACTATAAGGGCATCCTTATAAGAATGATCATGTAACAGCTTTAATAGCAGATTTAATCACCATCTAACAAATTCAATAACACATATTCCATAACAGATTTAATTCCAATAACACAGATTTAATTCTATTAACACAAATTCAATTCCAACTCTCAGATTTAACATAGATTAAATAACAGATTTAAAAAAATAAAAATAAAAAACAGAAATGATAACCCTCTAACAGATTCAATAACACATACTCCATAACAGATTTAATTCCAATAACACAAATTTAATTCCTATAAAATCGATTCAATTCCAACTCTCAGATTTAACACAGATTGAATAACAGATTTAAAACAAAAAAAAATGTTAACCCTCTAACTAATTCAATAACCCAATAATCTAAAATCTCAAATGTTTGATTCTTCGCAAAATGTTCAACCTCAGACAAATATTGCTCCAATTCCAACTTAGATCCACTAGTACATCGCCTCTCCAAATAGGAATTCAATTGGGAGTCAACCAAAGAATAAGGATCATCATCATCATCATTTTCCACCATATTCACAACTTCACTCACACTTGGAAGTTTCTCATTTGAAGGATAAAGTGTGACATAATGGCTATACAAACGACTCAAACAACTCTTAATGATCCCAAACTGTGGATGGTGCTCTCCCCCCTCCACCCTCACTCTTTCTCTTTGGGGGTCTAGGAGGCTTAGGTTCAGGTTCAGGTTCAGGTATGGGTTCGACTAAGAGGGGATTCATTTGAGAATTAGAGGATTCCGGAGGTACAAGATTGATTGCGGGAGATTGAATACTATCCTCCATTTAAATTGGATTACAAAAATTACAAATTCAATTTCAATAATAGATTCAATAGTATTATAACAGATTCAATACTATCCTTTACATCAATAGTTATTATAATAGATTCAATAGTGTTATATGAATTATAATGGTTCAATAACAGATTTCAAATTCTATACAGATTCAATAGTATTTCAATAACAAATTCAATTTCAATAACAGATCAATACAGATTCAATTATATGATTCAATACAGATCCAATTTCAATACAGATCCAATTATATGAATTCTATACAGATTCAATACAGATCCAATTTTAATACCGATTCAAAAAAAAAAAAGATTTAATTCCAAAAATTATACAGACAGAGACAGATTCAACACAAATTCAAGGTTATGTACGCAGATTCAAAAAACTCAAGGTTATGTACACAAATTCAACACAGATTCAAAAACTCAAGGTTATGCACACAGATTCAACACAGATTCAAGGTTATGTACACAGATTTAACAGATCTGATATATTGCAAAATAAATC